CCCAGGGCCATCCCACCCACTCAGTGCCCTGCCGGCCTGAGTAACACTTAGAATGACTTGCAACCACTGCCAGGGCAATGACGCCACTGGGCACTGGGGCAGCTCTTCTACTCGGGCCTTAAAATGTTTCTCAAAGGTGCTGATCTTGTTTACATTTTCAGGAAGGGCACGGATTCTTCCTAATTCAGGAAAAGCTCCTCGAAGGCAGGCCCCAAAACTGAAGTGCACTGTGCTCCCCACACACGGAGAGGCTGGTTTCTGCAAAGCCATCACACACTCCCACCCTTAGTGACACATGTTGGGGGGCGGGGACTGGGGCATCCCAGGGAGGAGCTGGGGCCAGGCCGAGGCCACGCAGGAGCAGATGAGCCCGGACACTCATGGGACTGCCGCCTCGGGAGGTTGAAAAGCCAGGCTACTCCTCATGAGCCTGAAATGCCACCCTCTCATGGCAAAGAGGCCAACAGGGCAGAGGCAGAGTGGAAGAGGAGTGGGTGTATTTCTGGCTGCGGCTGGAGCAAAGGTAAGATTCCAGGGGGGGAGCAAGGGCTGCTCAGTGCAAACGGAAGCCAGTAAGTGGACAAGGCCCCACATTTATGCCTTGTTAATAAAAACCACCTGCCACGCTCTGCATTCTATTCCGAAGGGAACCATTTCACTACCATTTTGCAGCATTTCTTCTGAAAACATGAGTTTTGTATTACTGTTTCTGTGTACTGACCCCGGCAGTGTAGCCCAGAGAAGGGAGTGGTGGGACAGGGCAGGTCCCATGCTGGAAAGAGGAACCACCGTCTCCAAGTGCTGAAGGGAAGAGCCTCCTTAGCTCCCAAGCCAGGGCTGGGGAGACCCATGGGGCACAACCCCCACCCCAGCCTCCCCTGGAGACCAGCACACTCCAGTTTCTCCCAAGGGGCCACGGTGCCAAGTGGTGGAGACCCACACTTCACAGCCTGTGGCATCTTGGTAAATAGGCCATGGGTCTGCCTCTCCCATCATACTGAGAGCTCTCAAGGAGGCGATGCCCCTATTGGCCCATCCTCCCCCAGAACATTCCACGGGTCATAAATGCAGCCGACACTATAGCAGCTGTGCCCAGCACTGTCTCCCCCCGAGCCCCAGAGACCATGTAGCCTGCCCCCCACCAGCTGCATGGACAGGGTGGGTACCCTCACGCAGACCAAGCCAATCAATTTCTCTGGCACCCCAAGACCAAGACGAGTGCTCCTGGGAGGTCCTGTGGCCTCAAGCTGGAGCCACCATTCTGGGCAGCCACGCCAACAGCCCAGAGAGCCGGCCCCCAGGAAGAGAAGGCTCAGAGACAGCAGGAGAGGTGGAGAAAGTGAAATGCAGTCCAGAGAGGAAAGCTGGAGGGGCTGCCTGCCAGCTTCCCGTATCCTGGGGGAGGCAGGCTGCCTGCAATTGTTTGCTACACCAGTTCCCCTTCCCTCCTCTTCACTCTCCTTTCACTTAACCTAATTGGAGGTTTCTGTCCCTGGCAACAAAATTATCCCAGAGACATGTTTAGAGCCTGCCCCCTTCCCGCTCCAGGGCAGGCCTACTCACCCAGCCATGCCCGCTACTCAAGTTTACAAGGTGAGGGGGGTCTAGGTAGGGCTGCACCAGAGAGCATGCTGGGAAGACAAGGCACAGCCAGCTGGGGCCCCAAGAGCCAGAGAGCATTTGGACTTTGGACTTGAGCGAATGAGGTGGAGGTGTCTGAGAATAGTGTGGCCAAAACTGTGCTTTAGGGAAATGAATGAGGAAGTGGGCTGAATGGCATGTAGGAAGGAGGCATGTCTCCTAGGTACACAGTAGGTGCCTAACAAATGCATGGAGGGCAAACCAGGAAACCTCTCTATGCCTTGATTTCCATAGGGAATGTTTTTAAGAGATCCACAAACTCACACATGCATTTAAAGAGCTTAAAACAGTTCCTAACATACAGTAAGCACTCAATGTGTTTTGTTTTTATAAACCTACACAAAGACTGATGTTCTCCCCAAGAAACCGTGGGCAGGTGCTATGGTCTGAATGTTTGTGTCCCCCTAAGTTCATATGTTGAAGACTAATGCCCAATGTGATGGTGTTCGGGGGCAGGGCCTTTGGAGTGATGAGGTCATGAGGATGGAGCCCTCATGAATGGGACTAGTGCCCTTACGAAAGAGATCCCCCCGAGTTCCCTAGCCCCTTCCAGCATGAGAAGATACAAGGAGATGGCTGCAGCCTGGAAGAAGGCCTTTGCCCGACCACACTGGCGGCCTGATCTCAGATTTCCAGCCTGCAGAACCGGGAGAAATAAATTTCTGTTGTTTATAAGTCTGTAATATTTTGTCAAAACCACAAAATGGCAGGGAACCAGGAGGGACAAGAATGTAGCTCCTGCCCTGGCTGGTGTGGCTCAGTGGTTCAAGCATTGGCCCTTACACCAAAGGGTCATGGGTTCAATTCCCAGTCAAGGGCAGGTACCTGGGTTGCAGGTTCAAACCCCAGCCCTGGTCAGGGTGCGTATGAGAGGCAGCCAACTGATGTGTCTCTCTAACATCGATGTTTCTCTCTCTTTCTCTCCTTCCCTCCCTTCTACTCTATCTATCTATCTATATATATGTGTGTATATATATCTATATAAAATATTCTCTGGTGAGGATTCACACACACACACACACACACACACACACACACAATGCAGCTCCCCTCCTCTGGGCATAGAAGCAGAGGTAGGGCTGATGGCATCAAAAGGGCAAGGTCAATCTTTAGGGTGGCAGGGCCAAAGAGAAAAGGCCAGAAGGGAACTGTTCTCCACACTGTGGATCAGGGAACAGGGATGGCTAGGGCTGTGGGGATGGTGGCCATCCCACTGTCAAGGGAGGTGCACCAGAGTGGAGGGGCAGCTGAGGGGGGAGGCTGCAGTGAGGCAGAGAACAGGGCCTGGCCAGGGCTAACAGGCAGGATTGCCTGATGGTGGACCAACAAATGAGGAGGGAATGAGCTCTGTGTGTGCGTGTGTGTGTATGAGTGTGTGTGTGTGTGTGTGTGTGTAGAATGTAGGGCCACCCAGCATAGACACAATAACAAACATTGGGCATCTGCTCCATCACGTGAACATACTTCACACACATCCATTCAATTCTCTCAATAACCCTAATAGGTAAATACTGTAAGTATCCTCAGTTTTATAGATGGGACAATTAGGTAAAAAGAGAGGTATAGTGATTTGCCTGAGGTCACACAGCTAGTAGATGGCAAAGCGTGGGATTTGAACCCAGGTTGTCAGGGCCCAGCATCTGAACTCTTAGCCACCAAAGTGGACAGGAGATGCTAGAAAGGGATTGGTGCCCAAGGGTGAATCCCCGACTTGGGATTTTAGGCTCTGAGTGCAGAATTCTAAGCACCATCTTCCCGGTCTGCTGGGAGGACCTGGGAGCTTACAGGTGAACACTTGTGTGATTTAGGTTCCCCCCAGGTCCCCCCTACCAGGTTCTTCTGCCTTTGAAACTTCTCTCCATCTCTATCCCTCCCCACCTGTCACAGAGCCTACACCCCACCATCACTTGTAGGCCAGGCACTGTTGACGTAATGCATCCCGGCTCACAGCTCATGGAGGAGGGTATCTGAGGGGCACCACCTGGGAAAGTAGGAAGGACAGGACAATCCCTTCCTTCAACAGAACTCCTCTGCCTTAAATCCTATGCTCCATCACCTAAATCCCTCACTGCTCCTCTAACCCAAGCTACCAGGCCTCCTGCCCCGTTCTCTAACTCCAGGCCCTGGCCATGTTACATCCCTCCCTGAAGCCTCTTTGGCATCGTGGTGGCAAACTTCTGCACTGGGCTCCATCAAGCTTCCTCTCCACCCCATCCTCCAGATGTCCCTCTTCTGTGCTCCCAGCTCCCCCACCACTTCACTCAGTGCTGGGCCAGGTGACAGCAGCTGGATGAAGGGTTTGTTGTTTACATTACAACTGGTGGGGAGTGTGTCACACACATGAGGTGAGGCAGCCCCACGTGGTGCTCCCTGCACCCTCCTCCTCCTCTGCCAGCAGCCCTAGGCCAGCCCCATCCCGCTAACCTCCCCAGGACATCTTACAGAGGTGAGAGGTATCCAGCACCCCTCATTTGGACTCCCATTTTTCACCCAGAAGGGAGAGGTAGGGTCTCAGAGATTGGGGGATGGGCAGCTGGGTGTTTGACTCCCCACAAGGTGCCCCTCGGCCCATCCTCGCCAGAGTGCGGGTGGGGCTGAGGCCTGCGTGGCAGTGCCCAGTGAGTACCCGCCCCACCCAGGCCCCGCCTGAAGGGCCCAAATGGGCGGGTGCTGGAGGCCCAGCAAAGCATCCTTGGCGGCTGCGGCCCCTCCCTGTGGGGAGGACAGAAAATCTGCTGCCTCACCAGCCATGAGCGCCAGCTTGAGGGGGGACACCCCCTGAGGGAAGCCGCCCCACCCCAGTCTCCCCCTAACCCTCTCCGCCAAGCACTTCAACCAAGTTTTGCAAAGGGCATTGGCCAGGACTTCAGCCTGGGGGTGAGGGCTCCATGTTCTCCCAGACCCCGGGTTTGGAGAACGGGCTAGGGGACCGCGCCCACCAGGCTGTGCCCCTTGGGCCTGTGAGCCCGGAGCCCTGCGGCGCGTCCAACCGCCTCCGCTAACCTTGGGAGAGGGGCCAGGCGACCCTCCAGCAGACGCGGGCCGAACCCTCGTCTGTGGATGGGGAACCGAGGGTGCTGACGATGTCCTCACCACGGGGACACGCAACCTGGGAAGTGCCTCCCAACGCCAGCAGCACCCCCTCCTCGCTTGCAGGCGCGCGGAAGTTGGGGTGCATCCCAGGACAGGCTCCGCTCACGCCCACCCACCAGCCCGACCCCGCGGCCTCTCCCACGCTCGACAACGTCCCGGAGCCGACCCGCTTCTGCCCAGGCTGGGGCCACCACCGCCTCCCGAATCCCTCGGTCCTTTGTTGCCCGGCAAGCCCCTTCCTTCGGGGTCCCCCCCGCTGCTCCTACCTTCGCCCCTCCAGCATCAGATTGAGTGGCGGAGACCCGGAGCCGGCCTCCTTCTCTGCGGGCCCGGCCGCCGCGGGGGGAGAGGATGCTGCAGCCGCTCCCCGCTCCCCGTCGCCCCACCCCCGGCTGAGCCCCGCGGGCGCCGGGACACCGGGCTCGCGCCCCGGACCCGGGCCTCGCGCCGCGTGTGCGGCCGGCGGGGCAGGAAAGCAGGAGGAGCTGACCGAGGCAGCCCCGCCGCCGCCTACGCGCCTCGCGGCCAAGCCCTGCGAGCGGAGCGGAGCGAGCGGCCCGGCTCCGGGAGGGAACAAAAGGGGCTGGCGCTGGGAAGAGCGCCGGAGGGCGGGGCCTGGCGCGGCGGGGGCGGGCACGCGGGCGCACGGCCTTGCGGTTCTCAGGCCAAGGCGCCGAGCCGTCCGTGGGCGGGCGGGCAGAAAACGCGCCGGCATCTCGTGGCCCGCTCGCAGCCGTCAATTGCGGGTGTCCGGGTGCTCCAACACCCATTTCAGCGCTGGGCACCTATTGGTGTTTCAATCGTGTTTGGCGAGAGAACATTCTTCAGCCTTGCTCTGCGTACAAGGATGTCCCAGCCCATTGGGAGGGGTGGAAGCTTGGGAAGCTGGGAGAGGGAGGGGTGGGGGTGGGGGGTTGGTGTATGTACGTCTGGGAAGGCTTCACAGAAGAGGTGACCTTGGTCTGGACAGGAAGAGATGAAGAGGGGACGATGTGACCGAGGTTTGAACTCCAGGTCTTATTGAGCTGTTCTGAGGCCAAAGTGGGTTCTCCGTGATTTGCTCCGAACATGTCTTTGCAAAAAGTGGTACCCAAGGCACAGATGAACCCTGAGCCCAACTCCTCGGGGCAGGATCTCTCTCCTGCCATATCCAAGAAGTGGACACTGCTGCAGGATCCACCCCCCTGAGAAGTTAAGTGGCAGCCCAAAGATAATAAATGAATCCCAACACCCGCAGGTGCCCGGCTGTAGTTGGCCTCTCTGCCTTTGTGTCCCTTTTCCCCCCTTGATAAACTAAACTTTTGAACCTTTGCCTTGCTGGTTCTTCTACCACAGTGCCCCTTTCCTTCTCTGTTAGACAAATCATCCTTCCCCTTCAACTAGCTCAAACTCACCTTCATTTCCCCTGGGCATGGGAATGTGGGTGTGTTGGGGGAGGTTGTGGTCTATACAGTGAGATTGGCTCTGGAGGGCAGGCACCAGTCACAGTCTTGTTTATATCCCCTGAGGTACCCACTACAGTGCCTGGCCAAGGGTAGACATTCAATGACACTTGTTGAATGAATGAATTTTCTAAGTTGCCACCAACCATCCTTCCACAGCCCTGGTATCCATAATCTTTGAGAAGTGAATTCACCTCTGAAACTCAGTTTCCCCACCTATAAATTGGAGATAGTGTTTCACTTCAGTTCAGCAAATATGTAATGGTATAATGATGGAGCCTGGGCATGAGCCAGCCCTAAGGAGGTCCCTAGCTGGTAAGGGGTGCCAGACCTGGAGCCAAGGCGGGAAGAAGGTGCAGAGTGAGCCCAGAGGGGAACAGGCTTCTGGAAGAGGTGTCAACCTGATAGGAAGGGAGGGTATTTGAGGTGCAAAGGGCTATGTTCAGACACGAGGGAGCAAATTGTTCCATGTGGCTGGGATGAGTGGTCTGGATATTAAGAGATAAGAACTAAGGCATCAGGCAGTGGTAAGAATCCAGCTCCATCACCTCCAGCTGATGGGCAATACTCCCTGGGCCTCTGTTTTCCCATCTATAAAATGGAGCTAGTGTTAGACAGCCTTCTAGAGTTGTTATCAAGGTTGAACACATTAATCTATATAAAGGGCTTAGAACAAAGAGTGCCTAGCCCAGCCAGTGTGGCTCAGAGGATTGAGCATCCTCCCATTGACTGAGAGGTCCCGGTTCAATTCCTGGGTTGCGGGCTTGAGCCTGGGATGGGGGGGGGGGGGCGTGCAGGAGGCAGCCGATTGAAGCTTCTCTCCCACATCCATGTTTCTATCTTTCCCTTTAAAAAATCAATAAAAACATTTTTAAAAAGAAGAACAAAGAGTGCCTAGTGAGTAGTTAGCATTCAAGAAGTATGAACTTTTTTCAAAGAGCAAGGTCATTAAAGGACTTTGCATATTCGGAGTTTGGATTTTTCTCCTGTGAGTGGGAAATTTCAAACGGGGACTTCTCTCCCAAGAAAAGGAGGAAGGACAAAGAGTGAAGAGCAGGGCTTTTCCTATTGCTCTTCTGCTCCTCAGTGGTGGGAAGGGAGCCCAGGATGGCTGCGAAGGCCGTGCGGGTCCCGATGATGGAAAGCAGGTGAGGCCCAATCTGAGACCATTCTGAAAGTTCTCCTAGCAGCTCAAGGGGACTGGCTGAGACTTGGAGAGACAAGTGGAAGGCTAAAGCCTAAAGCCTAAAGCCGGGGTGGGGGGAGGGGAAGGAATGGGACTGGGACACTAGGGTGAGGGAGCAGCAGAGCCAGCCTAGATCAGGTTTTAGGGCCATTCTTTTGACATTGAAATCCATGGAGACTCCCCAGAAACGTGTGATATGCTTACGTGCCAGCACAGGTGTGTGCGTGCGTGCACACACACACACACACACACACACAGTTTTGCAGACAGGTCCATGCAGTTTACAGACCCTTTGAAGCACCATCTAGTCTGTACACCCAGGTTGTAGGGCAGGAGAGAGTGCTCAGAAAAAACAGAGCAGATGGGAGGTAGCTGAGAGTGTGATTTGCCCAAATGTGTGGGTTTCTGACCCAAAGCAAATGGAACATGGAACCTAGAGGCACCTCTCCCTTCTTTGACACCTGAGGCTTCTGGGACCAGGAAAGTGACCAAAGTTCTTAGGACATCAACCCATCATGGATGGACTAAGAAGTTTTTTTATTAGAAACTAAACCATCATTTCGTCCTGGCCCCTCTTTGCACGGGTGGGGAAACTGAGGTCTAAAGAGAGGCAGGGATTTCAAGTCACACAGATCCTACTGCAATGCACCTGAGTTCACCTGCACCCCGCCAGCAGCTTCAGCTAATCCCCCGTGGGTGAAGGCCCACCAGCCCCCTCCCTCACTGACAGCTCCCAGTTCCCGCAGACTACTAACTTCTCCTTCCCGGGCTGGGTGGGCAGAGCTGCAAAGGCACGGCTCACCTGAGAGGGGCACTGATTGCCCTTGGCCTGTTCTCCACGAGAGGCTATATTGGGTTTTGTGCTTCCTGCAGTCAGACAAATGATGTCGACATGGAAGGTGAAGCTGGGTATGATGCCCTGGGCATCAGGCCTGGGGATTGGTGGGGGGCTAAGGGAAGGAGGGCTCTCCCAACAGACCTCTCACTCAGGCCTTTTGTCTCCACAGAAAGTGCTGATTTGCCCATTTTCTTGCTGACACTGGTGATGACCAACAGCCCCACAAGGGAAAGGAAGATTATGGGAAGAGCACATTGGGAATAACGGGGGTCAGAACAGAGGTCTCGCCCTGGCCGGTTTGGCTCAGCAGTTGGAGCATCGACCTGCGGACCAGAGAGTCCCGGGTTCGGTTCCCGCTAGGGGCACGTACCAATAAAAAAAAAAAAAAGAACAGAGGTCTCAGAGGCCTGCAGTGGGGTAGCCACAAATGGGGCCTGGCTGCCCTGCAGGTTACTGCCTCTCTGATATACTTTTTATTGTTTTATTTTATTTTTTAGGACCAAGAGGACTCCACATGATGGAATATTTTATAGTCTCTGAATCACTGTTTGTAAGAAATTTGCATAAATGAAGAAACACTCTTGTATTTATGTCAAATGAAAAATGTACTACAGCCCGGCCGGTGTGGTTCAGTGGTTGAGTGTCGACCCATGCACCAAGAGGTCACTGGTTCGATTCCCGGTCAGGGCACATGCCCAGGTTGTGGGCCAAATCCCCAGTGGGGGGCATGCAGAAGGCAGCCAATCGATGTTCTCTCTCATCAATGTTCTATCTCTCTTCCTTCCTCTCTCTCCAAAACCAATAAAGAAAATAAATAAGTAAGTAAGTAAATAAATAAATAAGAAAAATGCATTACAAACCTGGCTGGTGTGGCTCAGTGGACTGAGTGTCACCCCATGGACTGAGAGGTCCCAGTTTGATTCCCAGTCAGGGCACATGCCCAGGTTGTGGGCCCGATCCCCAGGGGATGTGCAGAAGGCAGCCGATTGATGTCTCTCTCTCACACCGATGTTTCTATTTGTCTCTCCCTTCCTCCTGCTCTGAACAAACAAACAAGCAAACAATATAAGCATATTTTTTTAAAAAAAGAAAAATGCACATCAAAAAAATTGTGGATACAATAAAATCTCAACCACGTACTGTTGAGGGTAAAAACTGGTCACTGTGATGGGCTTTGAGTGGTGGGAATCCATGGATGTTTTCCTCCCCTTTTCTGCATTTTCCTAAACAAGCATGTTTTACTTTTAGAATTAACAAAAGCAGTTTATATGGAGAAGCCCAAAGATTCCACCAAATAACTACTAGATCTGATAAATGAGTTCAGTAAAGTAGCAGAATACAAAATAAACATCCAGAAATCAGTTCCATTTTTGTACACCAATAATGACCTATCAGAAAGGGAAACTAAGAAAGCAATCCCATTTACAATTGTATCAAAAAATATAATACCTAAGAATTTAACCAAGGATGTAAAAGACTTGTACTCAGAAAGCTATAAGACACTGAAGAAAGAAACTGAAGAAGATATAAATATACTGTGTTCATGGATAGAAAGAATGAACATAGTTAAAATGTCCATACTATCCAAAGCAATCTATAGATTCAGTGCAATTCTTATCAAGATACCAATGTCATATTTTATAGAACTAGAACAAATAACCCAAAAATTTATATGGAACCACAAAAGACCCTGAATAGCCACAGCAGTCTTAAGAAAGAATAACAAAGTTGGAGGAATCACACTACCTGATATGAAATTATATACTATAAGACATAGTAATCAAAACAACATAGTACCACCTGGCCGGTGTGGCTCAGTGATTGAACATCTACCCATGCACCAGGAGGTCGATGGTTTGATTCCCGGTCAGGACACATGCCCAGGTAGTGGGCCC